AATATTATTTTTATTTTAATATAAAAATAAAAAATATTTATTAGTAAAATTGAAAACTTTTATATAAAAAGAAAAATTTATATTTTACTATATTTAATTAATAAATTTTAATATTATTACATTATTTCTAATTGTCATTATATATATATATATTATAATATATATATTTTTTAATAACAAACAAAAATAATATTAAAATATATTAAAAATTAAATATAATAATATATTATAAAACAAAAAAAATTTTTTAACAAAAATTTGAAATTTTATAAAAATTAACTAATACAAATATTTATATAAAAACTATTATATTAATAAAATATTATAATATAATATTTAATAAATTAATTAAAATAGTAAATTATACAAATTAATATATATATATTGTTATCATTTTGATTGATTTAATAAAATAATTATGACAATAATTTATAGACAAGTAAAATATTATAAATTCAATTTATTAAATCATTTTAACAATATGATATCACAAATATGTAAGAGATCAAACTATAAATATGACATTACAAATATATAAGAGGTCATTAACATAATATTACAAACATATAAGAGATTATAAATATAATATTACAAATGTATAAGAAGTTATAACAAAACTAAAATAAAACTTTAAAATTTAAATAATGAAATAATGAAATAATAAAAGGAATATTTAAATATTCTAAATATATTAATTTCAAAAGAGTATTATTATCAAAGAAGTTTATTTTTGAGTCAATAATATTTAAAACTTGACTAACTGATCAATTGACTTATTAATTGACTGACTTATTAACTTATTGATTAATTTTTCTAAGCTAAAATACATGCTTCTTTTATATAAATTTGTTAAATTAAAACTACCAATGATATTTACAAGAAAATTACTTATTCACTTGCTTGCTCACTTGCTTGCTCACTTGTTTATTTGCTTGATTACTTGTCTTGTGATCTAATATAAATATAGATCATCTAATATAACCTAAATAAATGATTTATATATTATTTATAAATAATAATATAAATGTAATACAAATAATAATATAAATAATAATATAAATAATAATATAATACAAGATATAAATATAAAAATCTTAACTAATTAAAATATAAACACATGTTCTCAAAATTATCCAATAAGATTAAATGATAATTTTAACTAATAATTAATGTGAAATTCTATTATATAACAATATATATATTTTGATATTAAATATTAATATATAATAAAAAATAGCTAAATAATAATAATAAAATATCTGAATATATAATTATTTTACTTAAATATCATATAATAATTAATATAATTATGAAATTATACATGTAATTTTATTAATAAATATAATAAAAATTGAAATTTTTGTTTTTAATTTTATTAATAAATATTTTTATATTTTTATATCAAAACAAAAATTATAAGTTATAGTTTAATATATATTTTTTTGAATTTTCTAGATTTTTTTCTAACAAAATTGTTCTAATTGCAAAGTTATTATAAAAATTTTTTATAATCAAAATATAAAATTAATTTTGTAATAACTTTACAATTAGAATAACTTTGTTAGAAAAAAAATCCAGAAAAAATATATATTAGAATAACTTATAATCTTTGTTTTAATATAAAAATAAAAAATATTTATTAATAAAATTAAAAATATTTATATAAAACAAAAATTTTAATTTTATTAATAAAATTATATATATAATTCCATAATTCTATTAATTACTATATAAATTTAAATAAAAAATTAATACAAATTACTTAAAAAGAAAATTTATTCAAAAAAATAATTAATTAATAATATTATAATAAAAATATTATATTAGAAATATTAAATTCTAAATTTTGAAAACAAAAAATTATATAATTCAAGAAATACTAAAAGTAAATAATAATATTAATAATATTAATAATATTAAATAAATTAATTTTTAGAAATAATTCTTAATTTAATTAAAAATATATTAATAAAATATATAATTGATTAATTCAAATTAATAATCAAAAATAAATAAATAACTTAATAAAAACTTTACAAAAAATAATATAATATTGAAATTAAAATATATAATTTACAAATAATAAAAATTATTTACTAAAAAAATTGATTTCAAAAATAATAATATTTATCATTATTAAAAAACATATAATTTATTATAATATTTATTATATTTTATAATATAAAGTAAAAAAATCAAAATAGCAATAATTAATAAAAAGTTTTATAAATAACTATAAAAAAATAATTAATTAAATTAAAATAATTAAATATTTTAAAAAGATAATTATAAATATAGTATTATTATAAAGTTTTGAAGAAATTGCAAAATAATATATAAAATATTTAATAAATAAAAAAAATTAAAACAAGTTACAAATAATTTCACAACTTATAAATTAATAACTAATAATTTATAATTAGTTCAAGTAAAAAATTAATTTAAATACTATTTTTCAAACTTAAAAATCACAATACAAAATAAAAAAATAAAACAAAAAATTAATAATTTCAAGAAAAAAAATAAAAAATATAATAATTCAAACAAGAAAATCAATAATTAAAAGAATTTTTTAAATAATTATTATTACTTATTATATTAAATATTGATTATTCAAAAAATTCTAAATATTTTTAAGCTTAATACAACAAGTATGTGATATTTATTTAGTATTCATTATTGTTATAACTCAAAAATTTTATAAGTTATAACTAGTTATAACTGGATAATACTTTATTTATTATTACTATAATAATTATTGTACTATTTCTAGTTATCCATTATATGACTTTAATCTAGTACTTAATAAATTCATAAAATAATTAATTCAAGAAAATATATTTATTTGATTAAAAATTTAAATTAATATCAAGATTCCCTAAATGATCAACAAAAAACACAAAAATAAATCAAAATATAAATTCCAAAAAAGATCGATTTTTACTCATTTACATATTTATCAGAAAAAAGCAAAAGTTGATTAAAATAAAGATCCAGAAGAAAATCAACATTCTGTTCATCTAGTAAAACAAGATTGCAAATAAATGAATTACAAAATAACAAGTATATTATAATTGAATTGAATAATAAATTATTATCATTAGATCTCTTGCCATGATATTACCAATAACAGGACCATTACAAAAAAATCTAGATTACAATCAAGAAGAATACAATTATAACCAACCAATAACAGAACACGATTACAAGTAATATTAACACACTCAAAACTTGATGAAATGATATCAAGACTATTATAATAGCAATACCAATGTACAATAAATACTAACTATTATAGTTAGTGACGTACAAGTACGATTAGACATAGAATCACACTTTATTAAAGATTACATTCCTAGATGAACAGCCGATAGACTTGGACTTTACTTGATACTACAAGAACAATTCAACCATCTCAAAAGTCGCATGACAGTAATAGCAAATACTATTGACTTGGAACTTTAATACTTCACCATACAGATAAATGACTTAAAAAATTATACCAAACACAACCGATGACCTATCTAATGAACCACGAGACTATCGAAGTTCACATTAAATCATTCTAGGATCAGAAACAATCAAAGACAGACTTAATTTGTCCAAAATGGAGCAAAATCTCAGTAGAAAACCCAAATTATAGATCATCGCAAGAACGAAAATACATAAGTGGAAAACCCTACGAAAACCCGGACTTAACAAATCCCGCTGACACCATTAACAACAAAACAAGAGTTATCATTATGTATGATAGAAACAGAATTACCATGACAAGAACAACCAAAAAACACTGAGCCATGGTTAAACAAACCAGAACAAATGGAAATAGACGAACAAATTAACCACCTGACCAAAAAAACGACCAATATTTATACTTAACGTTTATATATGAACTTGTAAAAGAAAACTTGCTGCAAAAGTAATGGCCAGAAAATGGCGAAAAATGGACGAAATCGACAAAGACTCCCTTGAAGAGAAAAATTTGAAGAAACAAACCTAATAACGAAACCACATATTCACTGACAAGTATTACGACAACGGATGCGATGTATATATCACTAAAACAGATAAAGTACCTACATTATCCAAAGAAGAAGCGGACAAAATGGATCCTTATACCCTAGAACAATGGCAGAATTAGACGAATTTACCGGAACACATACAACATATGATAAAAAAATCCTAGAAAAAATCACAGAAGATTTTGAAACAAAACGAAAGGAAATTGATGAATTTAAACTAGACGAAGAAAAAGAACGAACAATTACCGCAAAAGAGTGGACCACTAAACCAATTAAAGACTTAACCCGACGCAATGGAAAAGTGTAATACAGCAATTAAAAATAACAAAAAGTATTGCAAAATAAATTTGGACAACACATGAGCGAAATTGATACTATACAAGGAATTAATTGGTAGTAGCATTTGGCAAAAAGGAATTACTTATCGGAATATGGAACGTATTATAGTGATAGTAGCCATTTTATTTTCAATTGTAAAACTGAAGAGGTTTCAATTTTACAAATTACCAGTAATTCTGATAATTGAAACACACTATTATTGATGTATATTGACAAAAAATAAAAATGGTTTATTTGCTGCTCTTAATGCTCAGTCAAGTTACCGTACAGCGCTGCATAAAGTACCCCCTTTGGAGAAATTTAAACCTTAATTGAGCCTCAAGGCTATTTAGTACAAAAAAAATTGACTTATTCTTTTGCAGAATTGTTTTATTAAAGAAATTGGACTAAATTAACGTTTAAATTTTCTCCAAAAGGGGATACTTTATGCAGCACTGAATGGTAATGATTCAATTATTTTTACAAAGGAAATAATACTTCAATGAAGTATCTATAACAAAAAAAACATGATCGATCTTTTCTTGCAGAATTCATTGATCGACAGATCTAACGCATGTTACACATATTAAAGTCTTGATCTATAAGCATACATCTAAGCACCACTCGTTTGCCACACCTTTAATCATACTCGAATTTCAAAAAGCTCTATTCCAATTCCGGTTATTGCTATTTGTGTTTTAGATGCTCTATCATCATCTTGGTGATCTTGATCTTCGTCGTTACTAAATCAAAGAAATAATTTATATCAATCTAACTATTTCTACCGATCAATGAATATTTATAAGTAATACCTGATAGAAACATATTGCCTTGCACCCATTGCAGACGGATCACAAACATTAACAAATTCCGAAGCCACAAGTTTAAAAGTGTAGTCTTTTTCTTTCGAGTCAGGAGAGATTTTATTTTTTACGTGATTCCAAACATTCAATCGTTGATCCAATGAAGCAGATACAAATGTTGTATCGTTGATTATATGTACCCCTATTTATGCATATAATAAATAAATTCGCAAAAGAAATGGCTTAATTTATTGTATTCAAAAAAACATACATCATTCATTATGTCTCACCTTGAATCGACGAAGAATGTGCATCCAACATATTATACACATCCAAAACGACTACATCACTTCCACTACTCGATATATAAAGTATCGTCACCGTAACAGCGTTATCATCCCCACCAGTAATCACGATAAACTTGCCTCTTCCAACCGACCTCACTTCCATACAATTGACACCTGATTGATGCACTTTGTAGACCTGGATCGGTTGGTCGAGTGGTTTTTGGTGTTGTAATAGTTGTGATATCAAGTCTTTCTTTTTGAATGATGATGATGATGATGGATTCTTTGTTGACTGAGAGAATGCAGTCAAGAAGCTGGCGCAAGGTTATATGAATCAAATTGAATTTATGTAAAGCCAATTATATTAATCAAATATTCAAAAAATGCACTTACTTTTGAACAGATTTCGATACATCCCATAAAGCAACTCTATCATGTAAATAAAAAAAAACTTTTATTTATGCACATAAAAGTTTCGTTGAACATGTTCCTAAAAAAATAAATGATAATTACCGTCCATCAGTAGCACAAGTAAACAGAATAATCCTCCGTTCTTGGTCAACGTTATTTTCGTATTCGCTATTCTCTAAATCAATGAATTCCGCGAAGATAAATCAATCAACCAATTTAAATCGTTTTTATACATACACAAACACATACCCTCTTCATGCTGCTGACTCTCTATTACAAGATGTCTGACTTGTAAAATACATTTATTGTGAAAAGTCGCGTCGCCTAATAAATAAAAGTGTCGTGTTTTCTCATCGAATATCCAAATCTATTTTTAAAAATAATAAAAGGTTCACAAAGCAACGAGATTTACAAAAAAAAAACTATTTATATAGAGAAATAGAATACATACGCGTAATACTGAATCAGAGTAAACAGCCGCCACAAAATGCAAACCGGATGTATTTTGATGATGATGGAAACATATAGGAAAAACGGAAATATCCATAATTCTCGTTTCCGGGATTTCACTAATATTTATTTCGCAATTAAATAATCATTTAATCTTTCAAGCCTTTCAAACAAAGAAAAGACATTTAATATACTAACAATTACCAATTGAATCAAATAATATTTACCTAATAGTCGGACACCTCGCCCACTCCAAACAATTAACAGTTACTGGCTCTGAATCCATCTTCAGACATTTTTGTTGATGGAGGAGCTGTTTACTCTTCGCCAATGATATCTCAACTTTCCAACATCTCAATTCCTCGCTAGCACCACAAGAGAACAATAACAACATTTTCTCGGTTACTTGACTCCATTGTATACTTCGAATGGCAGATGTATGTTTCTTGATACTGCAGAGATTGTGTAATTCTTTTGCACCTGGAATATCTATTCAGAAATAATACTATTTGTGAATAAATATAATATATAATGATAATCTAATAGCAGAAACTCACATTGAAATAACCGTAACAGACTATCTTCGCCACCCGTAGCAAATATTACGGGGAACATTAGATTATTTTTTATTACTCCTTTTCCTTCTTCAGATAACGCTATAGGATATGCTACCATAATATAGAAAAAAATATCCGTTAATTACTTCAAATACAGCTATACATCATACTCGATTCGACTTATCTAATAAGATTATTTTAGTATAGAATTGATTATTAGTAGATTATTTACGTAGATATTCAAGTGCACGCGCCTCCCGTCCATGATAATTATTTTGTAGTTTACATTCGTCAAATCCTTCACTGAATGCGGAAGCTTGTCGAGAATATACATATATCTAGAATTAATAACAAAAAAATCAATAACAATAGTAGAAATGACGATAATATTAAAAATGTAAGTACGCACCTTTTCTTTGCGAATAAACACAAAGGTCGACTTGTCCATTCGTTTATCGGCTGCCCTGAAATGCCATACACGATGTGCACCGCCACATGCAACTGAAAACATCTGTGTGTATAATTAATAGAGTAATTAGGTATTGATGGCATTATTTCCTGATACACGTTGTCGCAATATTGATGATAATGATGAATTACCTCAAATTTTTTCACTTCGTTATATACAAAAAATCGCTTCCGATAAAACCCCAGTAGTAGCAATTCATTATCGACAAAAACTACCTTTCAAGAAATAATCACCAATTAAATGTTAAAACCTTGAATTCACATATATGATATCACATGAAAGAATTTTAATAATCTCGAATATATATAAACGATCCTTTCTTATAATAATGCCACACATACACCCCAAATCCACTCACTTTTTCTAGCCATCCTTTAGTAATTTTGGCTCGATAAACTTGTTCCATGATTAATGTTCCTTCAAAATTCTCTTCTTTCAAAGAAGACGCCGAAAAAGCTTTTGATTTTTCATTAGTATTCGATGCTTCTTTGATTTCATCATCTGAAGAATCTTCATTATCATCGTCGTCATCGTGATCAAGGATTTCTCCAGATTTTTTGGTATCATCGTTAATGTTACTATTATTGTTCTCTAATCTCAACGAATCAGCTCGTTCACTTGTTTCCTTCGGTTGCTGTGGTTGAGAAACGAACGCGGATAAACCTTTTAACCGATACTTAATGTACCCTCCATCGCGACCAGTAGTAAATACGTACAATATATCTTGTTGCTTTTGTTTTTGAGAAGTGGATTCGTCTTCCACTTTTAATGCTATCGAAGTTACGGCTTGCTTCCCGTGAGTTTTGCGTAGGTATAAAATTGCCGAGATATGATAACTATTCTCATCAATATGATGATGATTATTGACATTACTATTATCTTCGTCTGATAATAAAAACTTTTTTTCGTCTATATCTGATTTTGTAAAGGATGATCGTGATAAATGATAGATAGCAAGCCCACTTTCTCGTGACCCACAAAACAAGAGATTATATCGTGCAGAGAAAGCTATCGAAAGTAACAAAAAACGTGGAGGCACTGATATTTTATACAGAATTTCTAAATTTGGCTAATTTTTTGTTACGCATAAGAATTAAAAATCTTAAAACTTGTAGAAATAAGAAACACTTTGTTAAACACTTACTTTCGTAATGTTATTAAGATCCAAAGAAAATAAATAAATATCGTTGTGAACAGCATGGGAAATAATGTAAAGAATATTTGGATCTGATAGAGAATAATTTTCAATTTTTATTTATTATAAATCAATAATAAATTAAAAGAAAATAAAGTTATAGTTAACTACCGTTAGTCTCCTCTATATATATCTCAAACACCTTGTGCGGGTGAATTTTTCGTTTGATAGCCTATTTTGGATTTTACAGTTCACAATTTAAAATGAACAACTTTTCAAACACAACGGCCAAAAGGTAATAAAAAATATAAATATACCTCAAACTCACTTGTCACGCTCAAAACTACCAACTGTCCATAAATGCTCCCACAACAAACAACCCGGCCACACTGTGACGACGTCATCATATTATAACTCGCCAGCTCAGGATCATGGAATAGTGTACGCCATTCGTTTGTTTGGTAGTTGAATCGTATTATATAGCTATATACCCAAAATCATATATATTTGTTAATGTATCTTTTTTTTCCAATGAATCAGTGACAATCACGTATTGACATAGTTTTGAAAATACCCATAATTTGACGCCATTACAACAGTCGAGTAATCAACCATCACGCAATTTCGTGCGTGTTCATGGGTGTGGGGCAATTTTTGCTCATTATTTCGCTGAATCAATTAATCAAGAACATTGTAAAATTCCTTAAATCATAAGCTAATTAGATGATTTAAATACAAAATTTCTACTGACCACTAAGTGCTGAATATATTGTTCAGCTGGCGGCAACTCAACTTTAATCAAATCGATCTCAGAGTCTAAGAACAAAAAGAATACATCCAGTTATAAAAATAAAAACATAATTTTGTGAAATAACAAATGTTCAAAAAGTTGATTTCTTAAATTAATACATTTACCTATTTTGTTCTCAGTTACCGAAGACAACGACCACAGCCGAATACCAGAATCTTGACCGCCTGTTGCCTTTATACATCAAGAATTTTTTTCATTCTAACGCATAATTCCTTAAAAAAATACCGAAAGATGAAAAAAGAAAACTTACAATTATCTTCTTTGACGGGTTAACAGCCACGCTCCACACATTTTTTCCCACGTGACCTTCCCAACACGCAAAACAATCGACATCACTCAACTCATCATCATCATCATTAAGATTATTGCGCCAAACGCGACAAGTTGTGTCCTACTAAAATAAAATAATTAACAGTTATTCATAATGAATCATTTTAGCTTACCAAATCATAAAACTAAAAAAAAATAAGTACCTCGGAAATGCTTATCAGATAATCATCAAAAATTAGACAATCCCATATACGTGCCATATGTCCAAATAAAACACGGGGCTTTGTGCTATGTGATAAAAAGAGCAAACGATGACTAAAAAAACCGGTAATTAAGCATGTATGCCTACGTGAGAATGCATTTACTTGTCGTCCAAAGCTGTCCCCCAAACCCTGATGGTACGATCATCGGATACAGAAACAACAGCCGTTCCATCTTCGTTAAATCTCACACCAAATATCACACCCTAGCAAAAAGAATCAATCAATGATCATCCTCATATACCTTTTCAAGGAGAATTCAAATATTCAGGTGTATTCTTATAGATGCGTAAAATAAATACCTCATGCCCAACAAGTTTCTTATACACAACACCATACCCATCTTCATTCCTGCACATAACATTCCACAAATGCACCTGATTAAACACAGTCCCTGAAGCCAAAATAAGATTCTCACGTGTGTCTCCAAAAAATCGCGCTGAATATAAAATACAATGTTCCTGGCATTCTACGGAATATAAGCATGTGGAAGAAATGTGGTCCCAGATTTCGATAAAGTTGTGGGCAAAGGCTATTGCTATTTCTTTTGGTGTCGTCGTATTTGTTTCTTTTTTGATATATGGCATTGGCGACGATGGCGACGACGATAAATAGTTTTTTTCCTACATGATATACACAAAGAAATTAATATACCTAATAAATGTCTGATTGCTAAAGAGCATACGTACCAATATTTTTTCGTCTGATTGTTCAGTAATTGAACCATATAACCACTGCACATCCAAAATCCAATCTTTAAACGGTGCTAGGCATTTTTGTATAGTCAGTGTGCATTTTGGCAAGCTTAATAATTATTGAAATGCATAGAATCCCATGAATTTTATTAGATTTGACGCGTAAAAAATATTCTAGAAGGAAAATGAATACCATTTGTCACCCTCATTTGGATAATTAATGATTAATTCGATCAAATTTATGGATTTCGATCCAAAAACTGCCAGTATTCTATGATCATTATCATCAATATGATCATTCGGATAAAAGACTTGTTTATTTGAAGATCTTATTGTTAATTTAGACATATAAAAAAAATGAATTCCTATTAAACAAAATATTCAATCAAACCTGGTACTATTCGATGCACACGAAAACACTCGAACGCCAAAAAACTATCCAACAAATCTCCAGTTGGTACATAAAATGCCTTCAGATATGGACCTTGCCCGGCTAATAAGATCTTATCGTTGTGAAAACATAGACTGGTCACGGGGCCAGCGTATAATTTCTTATTGATCTTTTTGCATTAGGGTTTTCCCGCGTGGAATCGATCAGTCAAACTGATTACTACCACTGATTAAATCAATAGCGATCACTTTAAGGCAATAAAGCAAATCATAATTAATACCTCAATTTGATTTTTCTGAATACTCTTCATAGCCTTGTTGTGTACAGAAAACACTCGTGAAGAAATTTAAAATTTCATTGATATTTTTAAATCCGTCGGATAAACATCGAGCCAAACGATTTTTGTTTCCTATTATAGAGATTCGATTTTCCGAGATCTTCAAAATCACGTATCATTTTTGGTTTTTATATGAAAACCATTCTGTATAAAACAATACATGTATAAAATATAGCATACATTCAGTATCCCATTCGATTATCGATATTAAAGAATAAAATCCTTGTAGATTTAAATAACTTGTGTATTGCCAATTAAAAATAATATGAGTCAAGCAAAAACTCCAAATGATTCAGAAGAACATCTTCCCTCAATTCCACCACCCCCTTATGAGGAAGAAGCCCTGACACCATCCACAGCATATAATAATACAAATAACAGTAATATTAATATAGCGCATGACCAAGAGAGAATAGTGTTGCCAACACCGTCTGCTGATTTAGCACATTTACCAATACCTTCTGCACCTTTAGCTGAAGACTTGTTATTCGAACAGGAACAGGAACCACTTCCACCTCGATCACCTCCTTCACAACAAACCAATATTCAAAATGCACAAAGCGAGGCAATGCAAGGAATGCAACTAGCAACAAAACCTGAAAAATCAGATGAACATTCATATTGCAAGCTATTAGCAAATAAATATAATTGGCTCTCTTTGTTCTGGCTAATATTAATTAATTTTCCTATATCAATTTTTGCGATAGTATGGATATTCACCACGTTTACGGTATCTCTCATCTTGATAATGATACCACCATTAGGATATATTTCAATGATAGGGTCGATATGGACTTGGCGGTGAGCATAAAAAATGATATTTAATTTTTTTTTAATTGCATGACCATAAATAAATTAATTCATCCCATTTTCAACAAACAAAAGAGCAATCGCATCATTCGAACTCATAATGATTCGCGTTTTCGATCCAAAACCCAAAATAGAACGACCTTCTCTTCCACCAATAATAATCAAACGTCAACCAAGCCAATCATTCGTGGGTCACTATCTATCATTATTATTCGATCGATACACAGCTAAATTAATTCTTTATTATCTCCTGAAACCATGGGTAGCAGGTTTTTTGGTGCTATTGTCGATAGGATTGTTTAGTTTAGGGTGTGCGTGTCTAATGTTGCCTTTTTTTATGAACACTTTTGGCAAATTGGCAATGTTTGGAGCTTGCATGTTCGAGACAACTCTGTGTCAAAAAAAAGAGAATAAGGAACAAATGAATGAGGTTGTCTAAATAATTGTTCCTTGTGATTTACTAAGCTAATTTTTTATTTATTTATTTATTAAATTCATGTAAATTTGTTAAACTCATGTAAATTTATTAAACTCATGTAAATAGATCATACAACGTGATTACATGTAACATTAAACAAAATTATATTACAACGCTGGCAGAAAAAATAGTGTCAATATACTATCACCGTGGTGGAATCGTTGTATTTATTGCGATAGCAATGCGCATTGTTGGCATGTTTGGATCCTATTATTTTATTATTGTTGTTAGTAGTTATTCTCATGATAGATTTTCAAGTTAACTGACCTGCATTTGTTGCACATCTAATTTAACATCAGTGATGATTTTATGCCCTCCAAGAGTTGCCACTTCAACCCGTTGCATGGGAGTTTCGTAATACCGAGTATTGTTATTACCATTATTGCTGCCATTTCGAATTCGATCCTTATCATCTTTTAATGATTTAAACGCGCTTTTATACGTGTTTTCTTGATCACCTCGATTATTTAATGATTCGGTCGTCCTCTTTGACGAATTACGGTCGGATTTTGATGGAAGAGAAGGAGGAGGATTGATCAATTCAGAATTAGGTAATCTACCATCGATTTGTTTATTTTCTTTGATGAAGAGATTCGACGAATCTTTAAGGAAATGCGATCGTGTCAGTGAGGCCGTATTTGATGATTGGAAGAGCGAAATTGGTGGTGGTGGCACTTGATGAAATGGAGAGTGATTTGGTGGTTTGGTGGCGAGAACTGATAATTGCTGTTCTCTTCCAAGTAAGTAATTATTTTCTACATTTCTATCATCAATAAGTGTATTCTCGTCGTCCATCTCATCAAAAGAACTTTGTGGTGAAAAACATTCCTCGGCTGTGATGTATGGCGTTGTGTTTCCTGCAGACGAAGATGATCGTATGGTTTCGTGACTTGACATGGGGGATAATGGTGGTTGTAATGTTAACACGTCGTCTGTCAATGCAAAATTCGAAGGTACATGATGGATCGAAAGCGAGGATGCTTCATTATTATTACTGTGATTAGTTGACGTGAATTCTATTGACATGTCTTCCATTACTAAAGATCCCGGAATGATCGAGCTGATATTTGACACGTCATTAATCTCTAAATCGCTGATACCTTCTGTATCCACCATTGTTGCGCCTTCTACCATAGTAGTATCCTCTTTTTCGTCATCTGCAGACGAATTCAATAAATTAGAAATTGACGGAATAGTAGTCATAATAGTATTTGTTGACGTCGGCTCACAAATAATTATCTTTGCTAGATTGATACATTTCGCATCATCCCCAATTACGGTAGTGTTACTATCTTTTTGAACATTATTATCATTCTCAATTTTGGATGCGCTTTCTTTTTCTGCAATAATAACATCAGAGAAGGGAACAGACTTTTTCATGGCTTTAATTCGATCAATTCTAGCAAGTTTAGCGGCGTATCTGGCTCTATTTGCAGCTATTGCTGCTTCGGTTCGTCTGCTTTTGCTTGCCTTAACAGATCTTGTTGTGGCTCGAGTAATTCTGGTAGTTCTAGCGGAGGCCCTGGCTTCATTTACATCTATCACTGCCTCGGTTGTGTCTGATGGATCAGACTTTGTTTTGGTAGTTCTAGCATCTCTAACGGAGCCAACTATTGCTACGTCGGTTTGCGTGCTTATCTCTTCTGCCGGAATTGCATTCTTCTTTTTGGTTTTCTTTTGAGTAGTAGCAGCAACAGTAGTAATAACAGTGATATCCTTTTGCTTACTCAGTGGTAAATTAACTTTGCCTTTTTTCTCATTTTCCTTTTTATTCCTACTGGTAACAGTTTCACTGGTTTCTTCTGTTTTATCTTCTCCTACGCCGGTTTTTCGTCGTATGCTCGCTCGCTGTGGTCGGCTTTTGTATGGTGGCATATTGCTGTTACCACTCCAATTACGTAATCAGTTAATAGTTTTGAACGCGTGAAATATTTTGTTGATATTTAAAACGCCATCTGCGGACGCGCCAGCCGAAAGCGAAAAGAAAGCGACTGGACAAGTTGCGATTAATAGGTGGATTCAAAACATTCGAATTTTAATTCCTCAAATTACTTGATGCTCACGGATATTATGACTCATTTTGGATTAACGGGCAAAGTGTGCAGCCAGGTGACCTCCCGCCTTACCTAATTCGATATGTCATGTGTTGCATTATTCAATTGCCGTTGCTACCAACAATTTTTAATTTTTGCATACCGATGCTAAATAAAACACCAAGTTATCCTGAGCACCTTTGAATTCTGGCAAACGATTTTTAAAGTTTGCAAACGAGCTTGATCCAAACAGAAGGGCACAGTTAGACTTCTTTAAGAATGATTGTATTGAGTATGATTGTATAGAGAACTGACTTTATTCACTGTCTCGAGTATCAGTGCTATACTGACCCAGTAGGTTGCAATGCTTCTTCAATATGTTAAGTTTCACCCTAACTTAGAGGAGATGTGACTGTATTGGGAGAGCTTACTGAATTCACTGATTTTAAAGCATCAGTTGCAGAGCAATAAGCGCTTGGTGTTAGTTACGCTCTTACGAAAAGAAACAGTGCGACACTTCCTTCTAGTTCAGCGTCTCTCTGGCTCAGGAGTAATAGTTGTTGCAGTGTGCTCATCATTATGGGATCTCGGCACTGATTTAGGAATATAGGAAGATGGGAAGATGCTCTGAAATCCATCATTGTGACCTGCATTTTTTCTTTTCACCTGAAATAACTAGTGTTACATGTTCCTGTAGGTGGTGGCTCGGGCCCGCACATTTTCTGGCAAACGAATAATGAATGAATATGTTGAGTATCTCAATTTTAATTACGTATAAAGAAAGAAAACAACTTTCGAGTTTCACGCTTATCTGCTGAAGGTAGTGACGATTGATGCATAAGTTAGAAATACGAAGTCAGTCAACGTCGCAAACAGTACTCAAATAGATGGATGAATAGACGGAATGGATCGGCTGGATGGATCAGAAGAGCAGTTCTTACTTAAGGCGCACGACAATCGGATTATTGTAATCGATTTGGAATTTTTGAATCAATTCACATTTAACAAAAGCTTGCTATATAACCTTTCCAAACTCGATCAGTAAGCTTAATTTCTGCGCCACTCGGTTCTTTAACAAGAACGAGGGTGCCATACAAGATAACTTCAGACATTTGTTTGATGGCTTCACAGAGATCGATAGAGTCATCGTTGGATGGTAGTTTAACTTGGTCAGGAAGATCAGCGTTTGGGACATGAACTAAAAATTTCTTATATTAATCTCCCCTCTTATAGAATTTTCATGCTAATTTAGAGCTCTCTTTTTTCCTATTGGTTAAGAGAAATATTTCTCTTGTATTAATAGATGAGGATCAGTACAATGTGCGTTAAATCAAAATGTGCTAAATAATAGGATGCGTTAGTACAAACTGATTTATTTTATACTAGAAATCTTATCGTTATGATGATCAATTATACTATACACGCACAAATTGTTTCTTTTATAAACCTTTATGTTAGATACGTAAATCGTGAATTTATAATGAATACGGACTATTTTTCGGAGCATTATCCTGTTATAGCGTATTTACCGGAATGTCGACTTTCATTGTGTAATATAATATTCGGTTAAGTGATTTAAAGAAATTTGCCACATTTTTGATAAGTTTCGGTTTGGCATATCTAGGCCGTAAAATATAGTTCTCATTCATTGTACACAGTTTTTTTAAATTTCCGGATGATATCGATATTCTCAATAAATATGTAGCTTTATAAACTATAGAATTTAAAAAAAGAATGCAGTCAAACACCTGGATATACTCGGGAAAAAATATTCGGACGAAAATTCCTCAAATCCTACATAAAAATATACATGAAATTAATACTTGAGATTTGAAATATATCGATTATAAAAATTTTAGGTTTCTGCGTTTAGAAGAACAATCACGTGAAATTTCCCTTTTTTAGAATTCTTAGAAAAACAAAAAATTATCCAAATCGTAATTTTTGTTCTTGAAATTTTAAAATGACATAAAACGCAGAATTGGCTGAACTTGAACGTTGAGTCTTTAAATAGGTGGACATAGTATGTTTGCAATATCTAAGAAGTTAAAAATTGCAAATTTCAACTTTGACGATTATTGTAAACAATTTGTTAATGGAAGTTCTTTGCTTTCAATTAAAAAGAACAAAACTCCATATTCTTCAAAACCTAAGCTATCAATTCATGTATATTTATTATGTAAAATTTTGAAAACTACGTCAAAATACTTTTCTCCGGGTAATGTACAACAAAATCCTGAGAATAGTAAAAGAAACAAAGACTCTTTGTTTTAAAATTACCTTTATATCGCGAAGTTTCATAAGGTATCTCGAATAACGAAAAAAAACTTCCAGTCCAAGAAGTCTGTTATATTGATTTTTACTATATCTTCCATCTACCAATTCTGTTCCTTGTTGACAATATCATGCCATCTTCCTCACCCAAATTCGAACTGCAAACTCCCAAAGAATCGCGGTATCCACGGCGCAAACTCTGGATGCAACACGATATTCTCATAAAACTCACGTTCTATCGTGGTGGAAGGTTTTACTATTTTCGAGCCGTCACTCATTGATAACAGTTTTTCGTGGCCGCCTAATTGGTGAAGTGTGTTGAAGATGTTAACTACGAAAGTGGACTCGGTTGTTTTGGTTAATTTCATGTTACAGTCAGACCTCGATTTACCGATGAATCGGTAATCAAATTTCAAATCGAGCTTTGACAATATTTATAATCACGTGTATATTATATAAAGATACAATATAAAAACGTAAAACAAATATTTTATTTATTCACGACAGAAATGCCTATAAAAGAAATACCTAAAAAAAAAAGGAATACAAAATTTACGAGAAAATATATTCTAATTGTCATCTTCATGACTGCTTCCCAACTTTTACCAGAAATGACACTTTTGAAATAGTCTACGTCCGCGATAGTAGTAAAAATGTGTGGCTGGCACCTTTTTTTGAATCGTGATGAAAACAATTTTATCTATTACTTTGGGGGACTTGTCTTCACAGAAGCTAACACGATATATTTCATTACTTTGTCGTTGTTCCAGATATTGCTTGAAAATCAAAAAAAGGTGCCAGTCACACATTTTTACTACTATCGCGGACGTAGACTATTTCAAAAGTGTCATTTCTGGTAAAGGTGGGAGGCAGTCATGGAGATGACAATTAGGATATATTTTCTCGTAAATTTTGTAATTTTTTTTTTTAGGTACAGTCAACCCAAAGATTTAGAAATAGCCAAGTATAGGCAGTTAATAAGTAGTATACAGGGACTAATTACGATTAACGGAATTAAACTAAATACCTTTATTATCAACATTTATTGCAGAACAAATTTCACTTGGACTAATATATTGATACTAACTCTAACCTCTGAATAGTGTTGTCGGTTGGACGTAAATCCAGCAATTTGATTGCTGGATTTACGTCCAACCGACAACACTGCCTCAGAGTTATCAGCCCTTTTATATATCAACAAAAATGCCTGGTCCCATCATGTTGACAATAGAGAGGGTTAACTGTATTTCTGTCGTGGATAAAAATATTTCTTTATATCTTTATTCGATTATGAGCGTGCCAGATAATAGATGATAAAGACTATCTCTCGAGATATAATATACACGTAATGATAATTTATACGTATATAGTGTAGGACACTTAAAGACGCTAATCACGTGACTTGCACTATTTTTGGTTCCAAAAATCACGTGATTGTTATAATAACGTAATTTGCTGAGTGATTTATTGCAATAACCAATAAAATAACAAAACGTGACTCGTAATTGACCAATCAAATTTGATTTAACGATCACAAGTCATGCTATTTGTTCCATTGGACCATCGGAGTATGCATATTGTTACTGTTTCCATTGGTTTATTAATTTTCAAGTATAAATCACGTGTTCTTCACATGTCTCAATTAAGTGGGAGAGTTATTAAAGGTTTTTATATATTTAAAGTAATTAAAGTTGAGAGAGACTAATTTAATAAAGATAGGTAATGACATGTTCATTTTGTTGAACTGCTAGAATGAGTTCAGAAATCTTCTTTTAATTCAAATAATTTAATTGTTAAGTAATC